ATGTGATACAAATTATTACAAATGACAACCCACAAAAATACAATCTAATTAACGTCTTAGGTCAAAACCTCTCTATAATAGTGTAGCTCCTGAGCACCTCCCCACCTCGACTAGTACTTGAAAAAGAAAAGGAGAAAGGGGTGAGTATAAAAATACTCTCATTGCATCCAATTCCTAGTAGGTTTCCACGGGCTTTTCTCAAGCTCTAAAAGGTTCCCTTATATGTCGTAAATGCTATCAAGGCATGGGTCCGTTACCACATTCTCTAGGGTCAAACATCACGAATCTTCAACCCTTGTAGGTCCTAATCCTCTCTCACGGGATTAAAATTTAGTTTAAAACACAGAAGTGTGCTATAAAATTTGTGAACATTCGTTCGTAATATTTAAATTCAAAAAGAAAAGAAAATATATTTGAAAGTAAATATTATATTATTATTGCAATGTGTGGTACAATAGGAAGTATAGGAAGGTTTTTATTTAATGAAAGCCATAGATGATAGAAGCAAATAGATGAGATTATATGATATGGTCGTCTCCTTTATTGAACTTAATTCAAATGCCTTTGTTTATTTATTCTTTTTCCTGCAAAACAAACATGAAGCTTAGCCTCAAATATATGCATATGTTCGAGTAATTATATGTATATCGTAATATACTCACCTTATAATGAGTCCTTATTGGCCTAGTAGTAGTAAGGCGATGGTGGGGGAGGAGGCGACTTGTACACGGGCGACGGTGGTGGAGGAGACTTCTTTGGTTCTGGTTGGGGTGGCGACTTCTTTGGCGGTGGTGGAGGAGACTTCTTTGGCGGTGGCGGTGGAGGAGACTTCTTTGGCGATGGCGGTGGAGGGGACTTCTTTCGTGGTGGCGGTGGAGGAGGCGATTTCTTCGGTGCTGGTGGAGGGGGTGGCTTCTTTCGTGGAGGTGGTGGCGGAGGAGACTTCTTTACCTCTGGTGGAGGGGGTGTCTTTTTTGGTGGAGGAGACTTCTTTGGCGACGGTGGTGGAGGAGATTTGTATTCGTCGTCTTTCTTAGGAGGTGGAGGCGAGTATTTGACAGGTGGTGGAGAAGAGTATTTGACGGGTGGACAAGGAGAGTAGTAAACAGGTGGTGGAGGAGAATAGTACTCGTCGTAGCCTTCAGCAGATGTGGATGATAAGCTTAAAGCTACCACGAAAACTGCGATAACAAGATGAACAATGATAGACGGAGGACTCATTTTTGCTTCTACTTTGAGTTTTCTTAATTCTGATTTTGAATTGAACCTTTCTCGACCTTTATATAGATTTAAGGTTCTTGATTACTCCTCCAATACTAATTAAAGAGAGCGTAGAATTTGAAAGATTATATTTAATTGATGATTTATGTTTGTCGTAATTTAGTTAATTTGTGAATAACCTATAAAAAATTATTGAAAACAACTTATTTAAAAATAAAAAAAAAAGGAGAGGTTATAATATATTTTCCATAATATTAAGAAATTTGTAGAAATTAAAGTTAATTCCCTCAATATTATATCATTATATCCCCCACTATTTTTATTATTCACCGAACGAAGAAAAAAAAAAACTACTTTGTAATTTTTTAAATATCTTTAAAATAAAAATAAAATTACAAAAATACAGTTTTGGATAGAAACCGTTAATTTTTTATTTTTTTATTTTTTTTTGTATAAAAAAACTCTTTTAACTTAATGAAAAAAAAAATCAAGAATACCCTTTTAATATAAAAAAAAATATTTAGAAAATACTCTTCCTTCCTTTACTCCGACCACATCTAGGGTTCCTCGAACAATGTGATATCTCACACCAGGTAAATCCTTAACCCTTCTCCCTCTTACTAAGACTACAGAATGTTCTTGTAAATTATGGCCAACACCAAATATATAAGCAGTGATTTCAAATCCCGAGGCTAAGCGTACTCTGGCAACTTTACATAAGGCAGAATTTGGTTTTTTGGGGGTGATAGTGGAAAAGTTGATAGATAAGTCACCCTTACTGCCACTCGACAGAACCGTATATGAGATTTTCACCTTATATGGCTGCTTGTTCAATTCTTTCGAAGTCATTGGATCCTTTTTCTCGTTCGAGAATCTCCTCCCCTCTTTCGGTTTTTTTAAACTTTCATTAATACCCATAAATATAAATTTTTTAAGTGGGAGATGATTTAAAACGTCAATGATATTAATGATACTTTTAAAATAAAAAATTAGAAGAATATTAATGAAATATTTTAAAAGTTTTGAAAAATTAAAGTTTAAAGGTATTTTTAAAATAAAAATACTCATTGTTTTCCATCAAAATTAACGAAATGAGTTAAAAATTTAAAGGTATTATTGAAATTTTTGAAATTTTTTCGAGAATAAGTAAAAGAATATTTTTGTCTAAAATTTGATGGTGACGTACAAATTTATCCTAACGGTCTAGAAGTGAGTATTAATGAATACCGTTAAATTAGTTAATGTTGGTAATGAGGCATCGAGACAATATTAAAATTTGAAGAATGGTAATACGCAATGGGTAATACTTTTGACTTTGTGTTGGATGGACTCTCAATTTATTGCGATGGTGTGTCTTGCACACAATTGCTAAGTTTTAAAAACATTACTCATTCTTGTGGAAGAGTAGGGGTGTACATGGTCCGGGTTAGGTTGGGTTGAGAGATTTTTTTGACCCAATCCAAAAGTTCGGGTTAGTTGGATTGGTAATTAACCCGTACGAGTGTACATGGTCCGGGTTGGGTTGGGTTGGGTTGGGAGATTTTTTTGACTCAATCCAAAAGTTCAGGTTGGTTGGATTGGTCATCAACCCAATCCGAAACTTTCCACATCTAATGAAAGAAATTAAAAATAATAAAATAACAAAAAAAAATAAATTAAAAATAATAAAATAATAAAATAATATAAAGGAAATTAAAAAGAAACGGTATATATTAAGAAAAATTAAACAAAGAAATTAAAAATAATAAAATAACGAACCTCTCTTACAAACCTATTAATACGGAATAATTCTTAATATATTTTATATACTTTATTTGGCTTGGGTCAACCCGAAGGTTTTACTCACGAACCCGAAACCGAACTGATTCAGTTCGGGTTAAAAAAAAATGAACCCAACCCTACCTGAAATGTTTATCCAACCCAACCCAACCCTTATAATTCAGGTTGGGTTGGTCCAGGTTGTCGAGTTGAATGTACACCCCTATGGAAGAGTCACTACTACTGTAATACTCGAGTAAAATAGGTGTATATGAATAAATCGAGATGAAAATATGCTAAAAGAAAAGGTAAAATCTTCTACCCGACTCGTCACTCCTATGTCACGACCTTACTTTGAGCTAAAAATCATTTTTTAAAAAAATCTGAATATTAAAAATACTGAGTAAGAAACTCCCCTATTGAGGTCGAATATGTAACTCATTGTATAACTAATCAAACAAAATCGAGGGACCTTAGTAGTTAATTATTCGGAACATACAACATGTAATTTTCTCACGGAAACTGTTTTCAGCAATCACTCCTCACAGTGATCACTAATAGCTGGTTAACAAGTGTCCCGCTTGGCAGTTCGATGTTAGTTGGAGAATACATTTTCTAACGATTTCAGGTCAATTTCATGACTAATTCGGCTTGGATCTTATATGCTCGAACCTTCCCTACAAATTTCAATTGAAACATTGTTGACTTTGTGTAAGGACGACTATCATACATACTTCAAACTTATTTAGGATTGAAAATAACATTAAATTTTAATTTAATTTATACATCATTGAGATGATGTCTTGCACACTAATGCTAAATTTTAAAAACATGGATTTTATTATTTTTTTTTCAACGACTCATTCTTATATACACGAGGGTCGCTGCTGAAGCGTTATTATACTGGAGTAAAAGAATGACACATGAATGAATCGAGATCACATGTAACGATCCTAATTTTCTACAGGCTTAGAGTCGCTATCATATGCATGACATATCGTTTTTATGAGAAAACATTCATTTAAAACGACTTCATAACGATGTCATGGACTTATACGTTTACGAAAATATCTTAAAACAATACAAAGAAAATATTCAAAGTAAATTAAAATAAAGCCAAGAAAATATTGAAATAACAATGTCCTACATTAATCTAAGATATACGAAAATAAATGCAATTAACCTATGTAGGTTTCATTGTCTTTGATGCGATGTTGTTGTCAAATGTACGGGGTTTTCTTGCCTTTACTTGAAATATAAAAGTAGCACAAGGCTTGAGTAAATTAAAAAAATACTCATTAAATGACTTCACTATTAGGACCGGAGAATGCAAACACATGCAATCATGAACTGAGACTTATCATTTAAAATCATAGTGTCTTAGGTGGCCTCCAGTTTGGGCATATTGGATGTGTAATACTTCTCTACACACGACCCACACGTGTGAGCGTAGGCCCACTAGACA